ACAAGTATAGTATAACTTTTTACTTCCCGGAAGCTATATTTAACGATTCGTCCAATATATAAGCCGTATCTACTATATTATTATTATTATAGACCAATTACTAGTAGTAGTATTAGTCAATAGCCGATACATCGGCTAGTCCGGTTCCATGTACCAGTCATGATGGTAGGTTAGGGGGAACACCCCTTCTCCGCTCCCGCCAAAGATTTTTTTTTGGTTTTCTCCAATTAAACCGGGTTCTTGGTACGGATACGGTCATGTACATCACTCTCGGGAATTTCCACGCGGCCAGAGAAAAATAATAACAATAATATAAATATTATTATAATATTATGTTGTTATTATGATTTCGATTTTTGATGCACGGGGGAGGCGAAACGTGTGTGCGTGATGAGTAGGAGCGGTCAGCCCGGCAATGGTCGTGCAACGGTGGACCGGTGGCGACGGCGAGGCGGCGGCGGTGTCGGCATAGATCAAACGGAATTTAGATCCCCCGCTACTCAGGGATGTGCCGTAGCGAATAGTATAAGACGTACAGAGAAATCCCCCCCCTTCTATCTATCTCTCTCTCTCCCCGGACACCCGCCCCTCACACGGTGTCGTTATTATTATTATTATTACACTAAGCCCATAACGAAAATTGAGGGAAACGCGCATTTACCTACGGGGGGCTCTCTCTACTACTCTAGCCGCGCGACCGCCATTAATTTATATAATAAAAAGAAGAAAAAAAAAATATCACATTATAGAAACGTAGGTCCGGAAGGTATAGGTAGGCTGCGTGTGCACGTATCGGTTACGATATTATTTTTATGGATTTAAAAAACAAACTGTTTTTTTATTCATTATTATTATTATGTAGCGTTCTCTGCGGTTATCCGTCCGCCGCCGCCGACAAAGTCGACGCCGATTGTCATATTATTATATTGTCATTTGACGACGGGACGCAATGACGTTTAATAACCGTATTAATAATTCCAACGTGAAAAATATTATAATTATTACACATGGATACACCACGGACACCCACTTGAGTACCGCTAGATACGCTTTTTATTTAGGGCTATGTCATCTGGTGTATAGCAATATTCAACATATTCAATGTGTAAGTAAAATTAATTATGTTTCTAGGTCCTAGGTATCTGGTATATAAATGAATTGCTATCAGGAGTAAATAACAAATTGTACGTGGCAAAATATGTATTTCATATGAAAAATCGTTGTATCTAACTTTCAATAATTTGATATTTTGTTCGATTGTTACTCATTGTGAGTATAATAATCTACATTTTGGCTAACAGCGCGTACTTTCAACATTGTCAGCATCTAGAAATACTAGATGTACACAAATCGTATAAATGTATTTACCATGCTGTGGTATATGTATAATTAAAAAAAAAACATATCACGATGATCGATCAATTTTTATGACGTACATAAAAGTTAAAACATTTTGAAATAATTTTTATTTTATGCACATCTGTAATATTATTGCTTTGTTTTATTGAATAACACGATACGAATTATTATCATTTGGATTAGTTTCGGATATATCCACGTCAATAGTTATAGACCGACGTTTCGGTCTCATTGCAGAGTCCATCTTGAGGGCGGTAATGGTCTCGACTGTTCAGCTGCCGTGACCATTCTCAGCCATGAAGATGGACTCTGCAATGAGTCCGAAACGCCGTCATATAACTATTAACGTGGATATATCCGAAACTAACCCAAATGATATATAAATCCACGAAAGCTTTAACGCATTCACGAATTATTATGTTTGCATGCATTTACGATAATTTAATAAAAATAAGTACATAACATTTAACAATTAGTAATTAATATGTGCATTATGCGCTATAACTTGTACTGTGAGTGTTATCGCGCTGTTAGGATTCTTTACTATTTTTCTTTACATTTTTTTTTTTAAAAATCCCGCCAAACGAGATAACGCCTGATTCTCTTTTCCGTCAAAAAAATAATATAATTGAAATAATTAACCTATTAAATGCTTAAAAAGAAATTTGCTTTGTATCTGAGTATTTAACTCGTAATTACCTAGACAGCACAAAAATTCAAAACTCTTCAATATAATGTTATTAAAATATTTTTGAACATTTTTATAATATTCAAAAACATTTGAAAGACATTTGAACTATTGTGCTGAACTCTGGTATTGGTACATGAACGGTTTTAATATATAGGTACTATTATAGCACGCTGTGTTGATTATTATTGTTTTTTAAGTAGTAATGTGAATTTTTTACTCATTAATTATGGTCATTAATTCACAATTTATTGTTATTACATTTTTTTAAATTATAAATTTCTTAAAATATTTTTAAAAAAAATCACGTACACGAGTTTATTTATTTTTTCTGAAAATGAATTCTTATAATTCTTATTAATTGTATAATTAATTGAAATCTGCGATTCACTGATGTGACATCCTTTTATTAAGTAATTCATCGACTAATTATAACTATATTTTTTTTGGCGGTAAAGGGAGAGGTACGGTCTGTTGGAAAAGGTAAAGTGCTGTTTTTTGCGATCAATAAGTTATAATTTATAAACTTACTATGCAAACTGAACGAAGAAGTTCAATCTTGTCTATATAAGAACATGATATTATATTTGTAAACAGACATAAATTAAATACCTTAATGTTAAACAATGTGATTGATGGCGCACAACTCCTGAATAAAACAACAACAAATTAGCTTTTCATATTCCTTCTTTCAATACTCGTTCACATCTAAAGACTAAATTGCATGTAAGTTACCACCGCCGACACGTCTATAGCTTCTACACACTTGTTAGTCGTATTAATATTAGTCACCTATTATCGTAGTGTATTTCTTGTAATAACTGCCTCCCTCTTTTGATACCTTCCTCGACTCTCTGTTTAAATTAAAATTAATTGTTTTAACCTTTATAAGCTGTAGTATTGATTGGTTTAAGACAATTTTTACACGAAAATAAGTATAATATCTATTATTTTTTTTATCATTTCACCGTATTTCTTACGATACCGTTTATAATTTTTTATGTATGCTGTAATACTGCCGAAGACGACGAAAAATAAGAACATGATAGAGAAGTGGACGGAGAGGCCCCGGCCGTCGCGTTGTGTCACGGCGGCGTCGGGCTGATCTGTTATCTGTGCGTGCGTGCGTGTACGCGGGCACAGGACTGTTCTATGAGCGGCGGCGGCGGCGCGCGCTCGTATGTGTGTGTGTCGGCGTCGGCGCTTTTGATCCTAAGCGCGTTGCCTCTGGCCCGAAAACCGGTTGACAGCGGGGCCGGTTAATAGTGTGTACCGGCGGCACGGGCGGACGCGTATCCCCTCGGCCGCCCGCCCGGACATAATTTGTACCGTGACGCGCGGCCCGACGGCAGCGACGGCGGCTCACCGTAATTAGATCTATCCGCGTCTATGCATATCATAATATAATAATATATAGGTATATGACGATGACGATAATAATAATAATAATAATAACAATATTATATAGATGATTCGAGTACGAGTATCTATATAGTTACACGTCGCGGTATTGTGTACGAGTGTGTGTGTATATAATATGCCTATAGGCCTCAGCCACCGCCGCCGCCGCCGCCGTCGCCACATCCATAGCCGCGATGCTGCGGGCGCGTGTTCCGCCAAAACATCACGTGCTCCGTTCCGAGCCGAAGGAAGCTTTGAAATAATATTATTATTTACACAGGATCAAATCAGTCCGGATCTATTTTTTTTTTTTAATATCTATGGTTCTGTTCAGCGTTACAATATACAACTAATTTACTTATAGCTGATAATATTACATGATATTTCGTCGATAAGAGCCAAACATGAAGTAAAAGCGTACTCTATAGGTTGGCGGGTATGATGAAAACGACGGTCATCTAAAATGTGGAGGATACCTATACTATTATATGATTAAGAACAGGACTTTATTAAACGACCAATCGAAAGTCGTGTACCGTTTTAACCATAATAAAACGTTTTGAAAACCCCACCCATGTACAACGCAGAGGAAAACATTGAACGGTATTTTGCCCAAGTCCACATTAGCGGGAAGTTATATCAGTTTAATATTGACTATTGTTTTCTTGCATTGGATTGTACTCTTATACCCCGAAGATAAACAACTTCAGAGGTTTAGAATTATATATATTTTATATGTATATAATATGTACTTTAATACTTGTAAAACAGTTCAAAAGTTATAGTATTTGTTAATTTATTCATGTAACAATATTCTTAAACGATTATGACTTACGAGGTAACCAAAAATTTGTAAATTTACAACTGTTATCCTTGTTTAACATTAATTAATAAACATTAAAATCTGTAATGGATAGTGTTTTGCTGAAATATGTATATGCAATCATGAATCAACATGTTGTACTCGACGCTCATAGATTAACATATTTTTTGTATCAAGTCCAATTATAGGACTGTCCTAACAATAATCAGTGAAACTGGATGATTGTAATATGTTTTATTAAATAACAATAAAGGAAAACGCGTTTCCAGCGACTGGCAGTAAATGCAGATAATGCGATGGACACGTTATATATGCAAATAAAATTGAATACTCTATCCTGATTGTGGGCGGATTTATTGTTTACGTTTTCATAAAAGAATTGTCGCGCCTTTTTTATACACATGTCGGCGAATTTTTTAAACTTCTATGTTTTTATTGTGTATGTACAAATTATGTAGATGTTAGTGTTTATGGCACGTGTATGGAAAACTTATGAAACACTCAAAACCGTCAATAATTGAATAAACCAAAATTATCTTTTAAGGGATATTATCGATAACCGTTCCAAGATTAACACTTATTAAAGGAATTTTAATTTTTAACATACTTATATAAATTTAAATTTAGGTCAACGCGTGTTATCCCCGGTACGAAAACAACAAAAAAAGACATTTGTTTTAAATTAATTAGTTAGGTTTTTTTTTTTTTTAATTGTACCTATACTCTTACTTGTGCGATATCCATGTGTGAGCGCTGGTTCTCATTTAAGCATCCGGAAAACCTATCGCTGCGCACTCGCTCGGGTAGTTCTGAATTTTGAAACGACGGATTTTACTTTTAATAAATTTCGAATAATAATTAATTCGCTATTTGTGATTTTCGAGCACACAAGCGATCGTTGCACTTTTAACGCACATATAACGTTTACAAAAAAAAATAATAAAACCGATAAGCCAAGACCGAAGAGATAGATATCGATTGCAGCCGGTCCAGACCACTGGAGCACACGGACGTTTGGTTCGAACTGGCGTGCCACCAGAGCGGTTGTCATATGGGTGTCGCGAATCCAAGAAGATCCCACCCCCACCAACAACCGCACCACCGGCGCTGGTCCCCTACCCGTAAGCACTTGAGAAGGGCTGTCGTCGAGTGATCACTCAAAAACATGAGATATTTTCATCCCGACCGGACGTCCGTCTTGTTGGTTTAATTAACAAATCGAAACGAAAAATCTTTGGAAAAAAAAATATATAAAACGTACAATCCCATGCACAACAACGTGGTAATTCATAAAAGAGGAAATATTTTTATTTGACCATCGAATCCGTCTTATGTTCATTGAGAAATCAGCGCAAACTTTCTCAGAAATAATGTACCTGTGTCCACCGTACTATACCGTCGAAAAACGAACAATTATTTAGATACCACTTCAAAGGCGAGAACCAACGGTTCTTGAATTGAAGTCGTAAAAACATAAAATATCATATAAATAATATATAACATAACATATTCCCGAACCAATAGGTTTATGTATGCATATAAATGCCAAAAGGCTTATATTGGTCAGATTTTATGTCAGGTTTATCCCTTTTTCCTATTACAGTAAAAATACATTTTACCGCTAGCTCATAAACAATCCACTACACGGAAAAAAAATACATAGTTAGCCCAACTAAATGTATAGTTGAAGCAACTATACATTTAGTTCGGATAGTATTACTTAGATTTGTATAAGTTTAATTAAAATTGGCGTTGTTACGATTTATAGAGTGAGACGTGGTTTTAGAATTTACAAAAGGCCTGTCGTAATATCTAAGGTAAATTTCAACTTAATGTACCAAAATATTTTATCAACGATGTGATGATAACAATAAAATTATGATAATAATATATATATATATATATTAATAATAACAATAATAAAGAGGGTTAAATATCATTAGTGCACCCCCCCGGTTTTGTGTCCGGCAGAGGTATTGTGATGTTCAAGTATTTTCAAATTTGGCTGTTCTCATCAGTTCGACTTTATATTTAACTAAAGTTTAACCTATATAATAGTCTATCTACAAATTGTCCTAAAGTTGTAATTCTGTTAAATTTTACTCAAATTTTATCTTTTAAGCAAAACTGTAGAAAAAAGTCGGCGTTAATTTAATTAAAAAAATGTTTTCGATTGTCTCAGGCTGTTTAATGAACTCATTGGTGACTACATAAATATTTCTTATTTGTAATCTTTTGGTATTTTGATTTGTTGCTTCAGCAAATGATTTTGTCTTTTGTCTACGCTTTTGACGTATTGACAAGCAAGTAGGCCAAAAGTGGTTAATCGGTAAGACTCTGCGTAATGAATCTATAAAATAACATATTAGCTAGCAAAGTTTGAAATCGGGCCTTAAGGCAGGTGGAGTTAAAATTAATTATAGTCCTACAGCAGAAATATCCCGAATGCGCCAAATCCGAGTCATTAACGATTGAGCGAGAAAAGCTTTTGTCCGACTTTTTTTAAATAGAGTTTGATGGCACTCGGGTACTGCCGTCGTCGATATAGTGCCTTTTTTAGGTATATAAATATAATACAGTAAAGTGTTTTCTTCGAATCGCTTTTCCACTACTCTTTTTTTATTAGTTTTGTTAAAAGGTTTGGGCCGTGAAAGTAATTTGTCTGATCAGCAAAAAAATGTTTATTTCATCATGTGAAATCCTAAAACATGAACCGTTTATAGGTTCGGTCGAACCGTCATGAAGTGATACAGACTGACGCACGAATAAAAAAAATCACTGCTAGTAAGTACCTCTATACTTGAATTGAAAGTTAAATGGATGGACGTGAACGATCCGCGACTATCAACCAACCTTTGCAAAAAAATAAACGCACGTATAAAACCACACAGTAAGCTAAACCGCAAACAAAAGTAACCACAAGAGATATAACATAATATGTTAAGTAATCATACAATTTGATAACTACTAGTTTGGTCGCTTTGGCATCGTCAGGTTACTTTACGTTTAAAATGTGGCATACTAATACTATCATAGAAAATAATTAAAAATGTAAAATTAACATGTAAAAAGTAACAAAACTTAACTCGAATCATTATATTTCTTTAGTTAATTCACATGTATCATAGTGATAATAAAGAAGAGATTTGAGTTACCTTTTACACACGAATTTTAAATTTTATATGGTTACTTGTTAATTATTTTGTTATGTGGGATTTTAGTTTGTATACATTTTATAGTAACCTGGCGATGCCCAAGCTGCGAAACTAGTAGTTAGTAGTAGTGCATTTTATAATATTCCTGCTCAGCTGTCATTTTTTTTGATAAGTACCTAATTAGTTATTTAATAAGAGTGTAAAAATTTATATTATATCAAATATGTGCTTAAAAAAAGATTGTCGTTTTCTTGAAGATTCAATAAGTAGATTTTTTGTACATTTTGTAAAGTATAACATTATATAATACTTTTCTAGTTTATATCACATATTACATATGTTAACAAAGATTTAAACATTTTTGTACATAATATGAGGACCATCGTATAAGGAGCCCAGATTATTTAAGCTTCCTCTAACTCTATTACATCTCATGAGGTTTCATTAATTTAAACTATCAATGTTACTCTAGTAAAATTAAAAATATATCTTACCTTTCCAACCTGTACTCTACAAAAAATATTTTCATTAGATCATAAGGGAGTATTATGTTAACTTTTTCGTTTTGTTCACGGCTCGAAGTGCATAAAATGTATCAATTAGATAATACGAATAGTAAAAATAACCAGAATGGGACAATTGGAGGGTGATTGAGAATAAAAGTGACAAATATAAAAGTAATTGTTTTGTTAAGAAATCCATTCGAATATTACTCTTATTCTTAATATGCATGGGTTAAGGTAAAGTTTGCTTATTACATGACTAGTTAAAATAAACTTTGACGGTTAAGAGTTTTTTTAGAGAATCACAGTACATCTTGTGACACAAGGCACATGATTAATTGTGTACTATTAGATAAAACAAACGATACTCAAATATTGGTCTATTGAGTAAAATAATTATAATAGTAAGAAGTTGTTTGAGTCTGTTATGATGATATTCCATGTGTTAAAAAACAAAACCAGGAAGAAACAGTTGATCATTGCAAATTAACCCAAGTTGCTGAACTTGGGTTAATTTGCTATAACTGAGAAAAGTCTCTTGCAATTTTCGAGTATTCTGGAATTCAATTTTAATTGTCTTTCTCGTTTGGAATACCCATAACCACTTATTATGAGAACTCAGAAGTGGTAAAGTGAGTTTTATTGGGCATTTTTTTTTTTTGCAAGTACGTGTATTTGCATAAAACACTTAACGTTCCAGAGGCGAAAACGATGCCGGGGGACAGGTGATCGCCGGTGGTGTCCACTACCCACGGCCGACAAGAGGCATTTCCTGTTGTTCAGTGGTGTGTTTTCGGAGCACGGTAAAATTAAGATAAAAAGTCGTGATATAGGGTGAAAAACAATGACAACATAAAAGGTAAATCGAGAGGATGTGTTCCAAAGAACATTTTAAGATTATTACCTGTCCCGTGTTACATGGTTCCCTTTGTCGGTCCCCGTCCGACGTGCAGTTGTCCAAGACACACACATCCCATCCATTGGTAGTTCTCATAAAATAAATAACCCGATGACGACACTACTCCCGCTGAGAGAAAAGAGGCGGCCTTTTTGGAAATGAAAGGACGATTACACGATTATCATCTCTTGGTATTATTATTATTATTATTATTTATATTATTATTGTTAGTAATAGTAGTAGTAGTAGTAGTATAGTAGGAGGTATATTGTTATTGTAATATGGCCATATTGCTGCACGTTGTACGCATTATAGTGAGAGTAAGGCTCTCAACTTAAGGAGTCGTACCGCATTGAAAGGTGTAATAAGTAAAACTAAGTAATCATTTGCCTGAATATATAAGAATCGTCTCAAAACATATCGAATTATTTTTAGGCCTAGATCGGCAACCAAACACTTTTATGCGTCGACTGCGGTGTCCGTTATAATAAATATGTTACACGAGAAAACCAACCGACAATGTACTTAAGAACAGTGCTCTGCGGCCGTTACACTAGTCTTTGTGTGCATTATTTAACGCACTACACTATGTAGTGTGTGCAAGGGCTGCTCCGCGTATCCATTGAACGCCATCGAGACATTCTTCGGGGAGAAATGATTATTGTTATTATTATTATCATCGTCAACATCGTGTTTAAGTACATTATATTGTAAACCGTGGGCGGCGGCATCTTGTGCAACGATTATGGGACCTAACCTGGCCACGACGACAAGGATATTTATTTACCGTTTATACGGCGGCGGCTAGAATTTCCAGATTTATGCTTTGAGATTTTTCCGAGTATATTCGTTTCCTTGAACCACTGTGATCGAGAACCCAGAGCCGCCCAGAAAGGATGAAACAATGCGCTCCAACACGTCGCAGTCCGATATCAAAGGACAAGCCGCAGGATAGTATAAAGCATTCGACCTCTTGCGTTTTTTATTTTGTCTTCGTATTAGCCTATTATCCGTAGTATAAAAAATTACATGTATAATATATATTGTTATTATATGAAGATATATATATTTATACAATCGCAAACGTTGCGCAATGGCTCTGTTTTGTTCGCGAAAACCGTTTTTAATTAATATCCGCTTACACAATAATAATGTCGTCTATTATTCATTAAAATTGTCCCCGAATTTTCCAAAAACATAATTGTCATACCGGTTTCTTCTAGTATACCGGCCGCGGTATATTATGATAACGAATTCGATGAATTTCCTAATTTTTCTAGCGAAGTTCGGTCATTATTTATTTTGCACAATTATTAAGAGATCTAGTACATGTTGTCGTTTTCTGGCAAAAGTACAGGTCAAATATAAAATCTAATGCCACAATTATATAATTGTGCAATAACACGTTGGTTTGAACTTCGATGAAAAGGACAACAATTCGACTTGCGATTCT